AAAAAAAAAAAAGAAAAGAAAACCAAAACTAGAAATCTTCTAGAACACATAGGATAAAAATCTTTGTGACCTAAGGCTAGGCAGTTATTTCATATATACAGCACCAAAAGCATGATCCATAAAAGAAAAAAGTCTGATAAACTGGACTTCATTAAAACAAAAAACGTCTGCTCTTGGAAAGACACAGTTAAAAGAATGAAGTGACAAACCACGGACTGGGAGAAATATTTGCAAATCAACCTCTGATAAAGGGTGTGTATTCAGAGTATATAAAAAAACTGTCAGGGCGCCTGGGTGGCTCCGTTGTTAAGCGTCTGCTTTTGGCTCAGGTCATGATCCCAGGGTCCTGGGATGGAGCCCCACATCCGGCTCCCTGCTCAGCAGGAAGCCTGCTTCTCCCTCTCCCACTCCCCCTGCTTGTGTCCCCTCTCTTGCTATAAATATTTTATTTAAATAAAATATTTAAAATAAATAAATATTTTATTTAAATAAAATAAATAAATATTTTATTTAAATAAAATATTTAAAATAAATAAATATTTTATTTATTTGACAGCGAGAGCACAAGCAGAGGGAGAGGGAGAAGCAGGCTTCCCGCTGAGCGGGAGCCTGATGCGGGAGTCAATCCCAGGACCCTGGGATCTTGACCTGAGCCGAAGGCAGTCGCTTAACCGACTGAGCCACCCAGGCGTCCCAAATAAATAAAATTAAAAAAAAAAAAAAACTGTCAAAATCCAGTAATGAAAAAATAAACAATCAAAAAGAAAGAAACAAAATAAAACGGGTAAGAGATTTGATGAACCCTTCACCAAGGAAGAAATATAGATGGCAAAGATGCATATGAAAAGATGCTCAACATCATCAGTCGTTAGGGGAAATGCAACATAAAGTCACATTGAGATGCTACCATACACCTATTAGAATAGTTAAAATGAGGGGCACCTGGCTGGCTCAGTTGGAGGAGCATACAACGCTTGATCTCAGAGCCAAGAGTTCGAGCCCCACATTGGGGGTAGAGATTACTTAAATAAGTAAAAAACTAAAAAAAAAAAAAAAAGAGCTAAAAATGAAAAAGGCTGACCACAGCAAGTGTTGGCAAAGATATAGAGCAATAGAAGTCTCATATTTCAATGGTGGGAATGCAAAATGAAACAACCGCTTTGGAAAACAAGCAGTTTCATAAAAAAGGTAAACATACACCGACCACATCCAGCCATTTTACTCCTAGGAATTACCCCAAGATAAATGAAAATACTATGTCCATATAAAGATTTGTCCATAAATGATCGTAGCTGCTTTTTTTGCAAGAGCCAAAATTGGGAATAATCCAAAATCCATTAGCAAATGAATGTGTAAGTGAAGAGTGCCTGAACTATCAGGCATGCTACCACACGGTAAGTCTCATAATAGTTATTCGGAGTGAAAGAAGCCAGCCGGACAAACAGGTTGTATACCATATGATTTTATTCATATAACATTCTAAAGAAGTACAGATTATACTGAAGAAAGAAAATCACTGGCTGCCTGAGTATGAGGGGGAGGCTTGGGGAGGGGTAAGGCGGAAGGATTACAGAGGGGCACAAGGACGCTTGACGGTGGATGAATATAGTCACTATCTCAATTGTCATAGTTTCGTGGGTGTATACATATGTCAAACTTATGAAAGTGTATACTTAAAGTATGTGTAACTTATTGTAGGTCAATTATACTTCAATAAAGCTGTTTTTAGAAACTCATGGAACTTAAGGGACACCTGGGTGGCTCAGTTGGTTAAGTGTCCGACTCTTGGTTTTGGCTCAGGTCATGATCTCATGGGTCGTGGGATCGAGCCCTGTGCCCAGATCCCCACTCAGCGGGGAGTCTGCTTTAGATTCTCTCCCCCTGCCCTTCCCCCTGCATGCGTGTGCTCTCTCCCTCTCACTCTCTTTAAAATAAATAAATAAATCTTAAAAAAAACCTCATTGAACTTAAGAACATATACTTAAGATATATGCATTTACTGTATGTAAATTATATCTTACTAAATTATTTTTTTTAAAGAGGATTCAGAGAAATCTCTTCTACCTTGACCTGGAGTTGCTGGGTGGCCCTCAGAATCCCAGTGATGGCCACCAGACAGTGCCACTTTGAGCTGGTCCCGGTGTCCTCTTGTCGAAAGCGTAGCTGGGCTATGAGTTTCTCCCCAGTTCCAACATCTGTGGTTCGGTGAGTCTAAGATGAACGGAGAGTCCTAAGCAAACAGTGACTTCAGAGGGTTAAACCAGACCAGATTTCTAGTCCAAACCCTGGGGCGAAGGCTAAGCCTCTTTAAATTCCATTCATCTATCCCTGCCTGTTTGCACAGCAAAGAACCTGTTGTGCTCAGAGTACTGGTCTCAGAGGCAGAGGGGAGGCCAGGGAAGCTGGGAGAGGGCAAATATTGACGCTGGCTGCCTGGGTTCCCCATGCAGGCTGTTGCATTCAATGCCCCCCCGCCTCCGCCGCCCCAACCAGCCCCGCTCTGCTGATGTGAACCAGGGGAGGGGCCTGGCTGGCTGCCCTGGGCTCTGTGTCTTTCTGGACCCAGCTTATGGAGGATTGTTCAGGAGGTTGCTGTGCACCTGCTTCTTTCTGAAAGGAAGAACCGATAAAAGAGAAAAGAGCAAATGCCATTCTGCCAGCGCCAGCCACCTCCCATTTACAGGCTGCTGCTCCCTGGCCTGGGCTCCAGCTTTCTCTTCCAGGGAATCCGGGCTGCGAAAGAGCGAGACATCAGAGAGGGGCTGTGGCAGGCTCTGGATTTGGGCCTGTCCAGGTTCGACCCTGGCTCTGTAGTCTCAGGCAAGCAACTCCATCTCCCTATGCCTCTGTCAAGTGTGACTAACCAAACCAGGTGCCTGGGATGGTTGTGTATATTAGGAAAAATGAGATACAAGAGACAAGACATTTTTAAGTTGGTGATAGTGCTTGGCATGTACTCAGTGCTGGCTAAATACTGCCTTTTAATATTCATTAAAGCCCTTGGCGCAGTGCTTGGCACTCCCCTTTCTTCTGCTTAAAGCTTTAATGTTTCCAAGTGGCATTCACCTTCTGGATCTCACTTTTTCTTCTCAATGAACCCGCAAGATAGTTTGCCGATGACATCGTTCTTCCTGACGCCCGGAAGAAAGCCTTTTCAGCCCCTCCTCAGAAGGGAAGAAACAAATGTGTTCCTCCTACCCTCCCGAGCCAGCCCAAGGCATCAGAACTGAGGATGCCCTGAGCAAGCCCCAAGTGCTTCACTTGGGCTGCAGTTGGAGGGAAGCTTAGGCAAGGGTGACTGTCCCTCAGCCAGGATCCCTGAGGCACCTTGTCCCAGGAGCTGGTCCTCAAGTCATCAGGCTCAGGGATGGGGTTGTGTCCTCACTCCCCAAAGGCACCTCCTTGGTGGCCTCAGCCCAGCATTTCTTGCTGCCCCCCATCCTCTATGTGTGAGGGGCCTCCTCCGTGAGACCTTGTGCTCCTCGTGTGCTGGGATCCAGGTCTCTTTGCTCCTGGGTGCCTGGCATTGCCTTGGCCCAGAGCAGGTGCATGGAGGCTGCTCAGTGAGGAAAAGAATGAACTGGAGCTCAACGGTCTCTCAGATGCTTATGTTCAATTCAAATCTCACCAAAGACTGCTATATTTTATTAATTTTCAATGGGGATATATCTGTCTTCCTCAACAGGAACTCTCCTGTTGGCCAGATTCCAAATTCTAAGTCTCTTTTTCAGAATAGGGGTGGACCACATTCTGACCTTCAAATTTTTTTAAAATTTTAAAAAGATTTTTAAGTTTTTAATTTTTTATTTTCACGTTTTTATTTATTTTTTTAAGATTTATTTATTTGTGGGCAGAGGGAGAGAGAGAATTTAAACAGACTCCACACTCAGTGCAGAGCCCAATGCAGGACTTGATCTCACAACCCTGAGATCATGACCTGAGTTGAAACCAAGAGTCAGATGCTCAACCCACCCAGGTGCCCCCCAGATTACCTTTTTTAAATACCCCACAGAAATTCTGTTCCTGGCCAAGGTATGATCCCATTGGGAGCAGAAAAGGCTTCGGAGCTGGGACACTAGAGGCCGTGCTTCAGTTCCAGTTTTGACATTGACTTTGCTGTATGACCTGGGCAAGTTATTTCTTCTTCTGGGCCTCGACTTCCTCATATGTTTAAGAGGGGATACCCATCCTTGCCTGTCTGGCTATTGTGAAACAGGAAAGTATTCAGAGAAACGGCTCATTCACTCAGGCTTCTGGGACCAAAATACAGTCCCTCCCTCAGGAAATCTGGGCTGTTTGGCTGGGCAGCTTGTCATGGGGTGGGGGGTGGGGAGTGGCAGGGTGAAGGATGGGATGGACAGAAGGGCAGTGAGGAGCCCCTCAAGCTGCTCTTTCTCCTGACCTTCTATTCTCCAGCTCAGAGCCTCCCGGGATGCTTCCCAGGGGCAGGATGGCAGGTACCCTGCCTCGTGTGCAATCTCCTCTGATTGATCAGCAGAGCCTACTAGGATCACTGAGTGGAGAAAAATGCTAAGGCTGCATGTGAACCCAGCAATATCTGTCTTGGGTACCCAAGGAGGCAGAAAGTGGCATCCACTTCGCATATATGTGCCATCCATAAAAGCTGAACTCCTTGGCTTGGTTTTATCTTTTTTCTAAGGGGTGGCAGGGTCAGGATCTGGAGCCTGTCTTGGGGCAGAGGAACAGCTTTCTTCTGTGTGGCCCCAGAGACATGCCTAAAATCGTGACCGCGGATCCCTTTCATCTTTGTCAGGAGCGGTCTGACCTGGTAGTGAGCCCCTGTCCCTGGAGGCATTCAAGGAGAGGCTGAACAACTTGAAAGCAGGAGAGGCGATTCTTATTCAGAGACACTGGTGCGCAGATCCCACTAAATGATCTCGAAGCCTCCTTCCTGCCCACGTGTTCTTGCATTCGATGCTCATGTGAAGGCTTATCAGTGCCTTTCCAGCCGGCCTCGCACTCTGGCTGGGGGGCCCCACTCAGGGTCCGGGACAGGAGTACTCATCCGACCAGTCGGAGCAGTGCTGCACGAGGTCGCGGCAGAGGCTCCTGGGGATGCAGCCGCAGTACCCGAAGACGGTGGAGGGGCAGTGCCACCAGCCCGGGCCACAGGGCGGACACGCGGTCACTGTGGGCACAGCGGAAGGGGAGCTGCTGTAGCCGGAGCAGCCCTGGCTCCCCACAGCCCCACCCTGTCGGACACGGCTTGACTGTATTCCTCACGCCCCTGTGGCAGAGAGAATTTAGACTCCCCAAATCACAGGCTGTGTGACCGCAAGCAAGTCTCTCACCCTGCCTGGGCCTCGGTTTCCTCCTCGGCTCAAGGTTGTTATTAAGGAAGGTAAGCCAAGGGCCAGGCACACGGCCAGTGTTTGGATATTAAGGGGAACATATTTTCTCCCCCAGCCTGTCCTCCCTCCCTCACCCTGACTCAGCCACACCAGCCGACTTATGACAGGCTCCTTGAGGATGCCTCACAGACTTCCCTCCTTTGCTCTGTACCCTGGGCCCCCAGTGTGCTTTCCTGCATGCTCAGCTTCTGCCTGTTGAAACCTGTCCACTCTCTAAAGCTTGCTCGAATACCTCCTCTTCTAAGAAGTCTCCCTTGATTCTTACCTGCACCCGTCCCCTCAAAAAAACCCCTCTCTAGGTCCCCAGCACGTCCTTTTGGCCTCAGCATGATGTTAGTCCCGGGGGTTGGACACATGTTTGAGTCCTTTCTGGCACCAGGCACTGGTACCAGTGCTCGGCACATGTTTTGCTGATTGAACAATGGGGAAGAAATTGAAAGGAAAGTCTGGGGCAGTGAAAGAGCTCCAGACTTGGGAGGCAGGAGACCTGGGTTTACATTCCTGCTCTTTTCCTACCCCTTCTTCTATGAAGTCCCTTCTCTGCTCTGGCCTCAGTTTACCTACATATAAGTTTGGGGCTCGTGATTCCTGCCCTGCTTTCCTCACAGGGTGGTTGGGAGGTGCAGAGGAGAGGAGGGAAACTCATGCTGAAATCCCAGTTTGGCCTTGTACATACTCCTTGCATGACCCTCTGGGCCCTGGTTTTCTCATCCGTGCCCTTGAAGGTAGGTGTCCCACCACAGAAGAATAAGCCTCCAGAAGCCACTTGGAGTGGTAGCAAGCCCTCCACCACAGGAGGCATTCAAGCAGCAGTGGAAACCTTCTTCATGGAATGCAAGAAGGGGAGGCAGGGGAACCTCTGAGATTCTCTGGCCAAGCTCTGTCCTTTGGCCACTGCCTAGCCCCCTGCCCCAGCCTAGCCTGTGCCCAGACCCGTACCTGGACTCAGTTCATCTGAGCAGTCCCCGCAGTTGTTGGCCCCATCACACTTTTGGTCTGAATAGATCCAGGAAGACGGGTCTCCACAGTGGGCGACGAGGAAGCTGGGGAGGCTCTGGGGCATGTCCCCTACAGTGGGACAGATGAAGCAGGGGGACGTCCACATCTGGCCTCCAGACGTCTATCTGGAGCTGGACTGTCCTGGCCACCCCTAAACCCGGGCTCACAAGGAGAAGGGCACAGGAGAAGGTTTCCTGGGGAGAAGGCCAAGTCAAGGGGAGAGGAGGATTCTTTCCCTGTCTGCCCAACAAGATGGCCGGAGAGCGGCATCTCCCTCGTTCATTCCCGGCTTAGCTCTGGGGCACGCCCGCCTCACACCATTGCTTGCACTATTCCTTCCTCCAGAAATGTCCTTTCTGACACCTCTCCAAAACCATTCCACTTTCAAGGCCAGGCTCAAGTTCCTTCACCTCCAGGAAACCTCCTCCAACAGGAACGTAACAAGAATAAATGTGAAGTCTTGCACTTGGGCGCCAGAATGCAGAAGTTGTGGGTTCACAGACTTTGTGAGAGAGGGAGTCAGAGCACCATTCTTGAAAGTGGGTTCTGTGTTAGGCAGTGGTGCGAAGGCGCTACCAAAAAAGAACACAAACTCAGGCCACATGACGAGAGGCCTTTGGGAGGGGAAAAGCCTTTGTTCTTTGGACTAGCCAGGGCTGGCCAGAAATGTCATGGATGCTTCTAGAGCCCGACCGAAGAGGGGGGCGAGGGCAGCTGGTGTGTGTCCTGTGGTGTGCTGGTGGGGTGGAGAAAACCAGCCCCGAGGGGCATGACCGTAGCCGTGTGGAGTATGGCCCTGGCAAGGGGATACTCATGGCGGCCAGGAAAGCGATCTTCAGATCCACGCAGTGCCACCATCACGGGAGATGGATTCAAATGTGGTTCAGATGAGGGAAGAGAGTTGGAACCAATCAAGGACGCTACAGGGGGACAGCTCTAAACTCAGTCCACGGGAGACACTCCCGTGAAAACCATGTGATGAGGGGAGCAGCTGCCCTAGGCTGTAGTGAGCCCCCCATCCCAGGAATATGCAAGCAGAGGCTAGGCGGGTTTGTTAGGAGACATCTGGGCATGAGCTGTGACATGCACTAGATGACCTTTGACGTCTCTTCTAGTCTAGAAGGTCCATGATGCAGTGACCCTTCCCGCATCCACTCCCCCACCCCACCCGCTCCAACTCCCCAGACTCTCTCTCCCTCCTACGTGGAAAGTGCCTAGGCCCATGTAGCCGGGGCTTTTCTCTCCTGGGCACTGTCAGGTCTCTAAGGTCTGGGACCCATTCAGTCACTCATTCATTCATTCACTCATTCATTCATTCTTTCATTCACTTGTTCCATCGTCCGTTCAGGGAATCATCTCAGAGACTCCTCTGCGAGGTACAGAGGCCCCCAGGTCAAGCAGACCAGGCCCACCCTCGAGGGGTTCACGGTCTGATGGGGGTGGCAAATGTGCCAATGTGGGTCCTGCTGGGACACAGGGAAGCAGCGGGGCTATGGGAGCCCCAAGGAGGGACCTTGACCTACTTGGAGAGTCAGGGAAGGCTTCCTGGTGGAGTTAATGCTTGAACTCTGCCTCGAAAGATGAATATGGGTTCTCTGGGAGGGGAGCTGTGCGGAGTGAAGGCCTTCCTAGCGTGGGCACGTACGTGTGCCTGCGCCTGCGCTGGGCTGAGGACCCCTGTTCCTCGCTGGGGTGCCATACAAGCACAGGCCTGGGGACGGGAAGGCGTCTGGTCTGTCTGGGGACACTAGAGCTCTAGAGTGGCTGCAGGGAGAACTGGAGCGGGGGGTGGCCCCAAATGGGCCCTGGAGGGTCCGCGTGGGGCAGGGCAGGACTGAGCAGGTACTCACGGCACATGGCCTCGGCTTCGTCCTCGCCGTGGGCGCAGGTGCGGATGCCATCACAGACCCTGCTGGCAGGGATGCAACTCCTCCGGTCGTGGCACAGGAAGCCCGTCCTGTTCGTCAGCGTCACACAGATCTGGGCCCCTGAGTTGGCAGGCGGAGACCACAGAGGGTCAAGAGTGGTGCTCACAAGTTCCTGTAACTCGGCCCCACGCTGAGCTGGCCCAAGGGGCGGGGGTGGCCAGGAGGATACTGGGCTGGGTCCAAGCCCCACTCGACCGTTTGCCGACTGTGTGATCTTGGGCAGGTGCCTTGACCTCTCTGAGCCTCAGATTCCTTCTTTGTACAATGGGGACCAGAGCACACACCCCACAGGACTGCTCGGGAGATTACATACAAGCTTTTGTGTGAATAACCTTAGAACACAGAAAGTGCAGAGTAACTCACGGTTCCCTCCTTTACTGAGAGCTTATTGACAGTCTCACAGAAGCTCCTGAGGACAGGGCTCCAGTCAATGCAGTGGTTTTAATAATGGTGGAGTTCCTGGTGCCAGGTCAGCTTGTCAGAAGCAATCTACTGGGGCTGGCTGGGGACCATTATGCCACAATCCTGACATTGGGGCACAACTTTACAGGCTGCAGAGCACTTTGACATTTGTATTCTGTTTCCCCAAATAGCTCTGGGAGGTGTCATCCTTAGCCCCATTTTACAGATGAGAAAAGTAAGGCTCAGAGAGGTACAAGGCCCAGTCACATGGCTAATAGCCCAGGCCCGCTGACCCTGCTCTTCCCCGAGGCTGGGGCTGGCTCCCCAGTGTCCAGGAATGGTGGGCAGCTGAGCATCTTCCCTTCCATCCCACTGGGGGGGACACCCGCCCCCAGGCTGCTCTAAAGAATTAAAGGAGAGAAAATGGCAGACAAGATGGGGCGGTCACCCTGGCTCGGGCCTGCGCAGGTGTGTTTGGGTGCCCAGGACCCGCCTCTCACCTCCTGGAGCAGTCTCGGCTAGTGGGAGGGGGGCTGAGTCTCAGAGACATCCCCGCTGGCACACGTACGTACACACACTGATACGCATGCACACACACAGACGTGCACACTCATGCACACAGATACACACTCTCATACAGACAGGTATGCACACATAGACGTGCACATACACTCACGGGCGCACGTGTGTGTACACATGGGCACGAGTGCAGCTCCTCACGTGTTCACTTCACTCGGTGCCCATGTTCTTGCACAAGGGTGTAGAGTACTGTGGATTTTACCCCTTGCTCCCCCTTGTCCCTTTCTACCCCTCACCTGGCTACAGAGCCATCTCTCAGAAATGACACCCCAACCCCAGCTGAAGCCCCTGCCCATGGCGCTCTGGATGGTGACCCTTCCCCAGCACAGCCTTTGAGGCCCGGGGCACCCGCCCTGCCCACTGCTCTAGCCCTCGTAGCCACTGGCCTCCTGTGTCTCCTCCTCATGTTTCCTCCCACCCTCGGGACTCTGCACCAGGCCTTCCCTGTGCCTGGAGGCTTTTCCTGTTGCCCCTCCACTAACCAGTGCCCACCTTTTCTTCATGGTCCCGCTTCCTTTCACTTCTCAAGCTGCCCACCTGACTCCTAGCCTGGGTCAGAGCCCCTGTTCAAGACTCGCAGAGCCCCTATTAACCCTGCCTTAATGGGCTTCTTTGATTAATGTCCATTAATCTCCAAACTATTAGCTCCATGAGGCAGGGCTGCAGGGATGGACCAGACATGGCCCTGTCCTCTGGTGGAGGCAGACACACAGATGGACGGCACCCCCCAGGAAGTGTGGGAGCTGTGGGGGCCAAGGCACGCCGCCCAGCCTGGGGGTCAGGGAAGGGTTCCTGAGGAAGGTGACATCAGAGCGGGGTCCTCTCAATAACTCATATTACAGATGTGCAAATGGCAGCTCAGAGTCCTGGATGTGTCTCATCGTGGAGAAGCCAGCAGCGTTAGGGTTCCTTATCACTCTGTGGTCCCCATCCCCTCCTAGCAAGCCCGGACCACCCTCTGTGGACCACACTGACCTGGTGTGCGCGGTGGGAGTCCAAGGATGGTGACCAGGGCGATCAGGGCTGCGAGAGTCACCAGCAGGAGTAGCAAGAAGGCCGAGAGGCAAGCACCCCGGCTCGAGCAGCAGAGGGGGCCGCAGCCTACGTGCAGGGTGGGAAACCAGTGGCCACCAGGGATGCCCCTTGCCTGCCCCTACAGATGCGCCTCCCCACCTATGGGGTTGGGGGCAGGAAGGGCGCCTTGGAGGAGGGGGCTCCTGAGCCTTCTATGATGCTCTTGGTTCTGCCTGTGGGCCCACCTCCACCAAGCACCCGTCCCTCGCCCGGGCCAGTGGCTGGTGAGTAGCAGTTGGGATGAGCATCCAAGTCCCTGCATCATGGCCCTCATCCCGCTGTCCTCCTTTGAGGACTTCTCCTCAGGAGGCCAGGAGAAATGGACACCTGCTTAGTGAGCCACTGCCTGGAGAAAAGCTAAAGCAGGCCCTAGGTAGCAATTGCTTTTACTTTTCAAAAACAACCTTTATTTTATAGACGAGGAAACTGAGGCTCAGAGAAGAAAAGGTCCAGATCACCTCGTGCAGAGCTGGGACACGAGTCGATGCCAAAACCTTTGAATGATGCCAACTGACCGTCCATTATGGAGCCAGCTGATGCTGGTTGGACTCCCAGCTGGACCACACTGGGAAGTCACTTTATTTCTCTACGTCTGTTTCCTCATGTGGAAAGGCGGGTGGGGGGGGGTCATAATATCTACCTTAGGGTTGTTGAGAGGACTAAGCTAAGCTAGTGAACCGGTTAGAACAGTGCTTGGCACAGAGTGCTCTAAAGGTTTCAGCTATAATGCCACGGGTGCCGGAGGGAGGGGTGCCAGGAACCCAGGTGGGATTTCCACAGGCAGGGGTGGGAGGGTGCCAGGGGAAGGCATTCAAGGGAGAGTGTGTAGGAGTGAAGGCCTGGCGCAAGGGTGTGGGGAACTGAGCTGAAAACCCGCCACCCACACAGGGCTGGTGGTGGCTCCCTGGTCGGCAAACACAGGGCCAACTCAGGTAACCAGGGAGACAGCGTGGAGCCCGAGCATTCAAGCAGCTGTTCCTCAAATATTTGTGCAGCACAGGGTGTGGAGGGGGGAGGGGAGGGTCCCAGGAGGGACCTGAGACAGGACTGGCAGCACCTGGCCCGGGCCCACAAAGACGCCCCTCTTTGGAGCTCAGAAGCCCTTCAGTGCCAGCCCTCCCTGGACAGATGGGGTAAGGAGGATATTTGTCCCACAACCATGCCCAGCAGGGGCCGGCGGGGAGCTGTGAATGAGGGCACAGGCACTTTGCCAGCAGAGGAACCCCAACTTGAATTTGAACTCCATCCATCTCTCCCACCTCCCAGCTGTACGCGATCCCAGTTTGGCCAAGCTCCCCAAACTCCCTTAGCCTCAGCTGCCTCATCTGTTATTGTCTCCAAATAGGACCCCTTCTCAGAGCTGTCCCAGGGACTGAAAGAGACCATATGCTGCCAGGCAGACTAGGGCGGGGTTGGGGGGCTGGGGTGGGTGTTGATCCTTTATATCTGATATTATTTTTATCTTCCTCTGGTTCTCTTTCCTCATTGACAAATGTGGGCCACGACAGGGCATACAGTAGATGCTCAATAAATGTGTGTTCCTTCCTTTATTGCATAAAGGCAAAGCAACCTGTCCTGGGTGCATGGTGAGTCAGTGGCACACTGTAGGTGCTCACTAAGTGTGTGATCCCGCCTACTTTATCCCTCAGAGGTACAGAGAATGCCCCGGGTCACCCAGCAAGTCAGGGAATGGGCTCCCAAGCTCTTTGGGTCATCATGGAAACTGTATGGGATGTGTGGTAGGCAGCACAGATAGGCACTCAACAAATGCATGGAGTGAAAGAACCCCCCCCTCTTAAGCAGGTGACTGTCAGCCCGGCAGCCAGGAAGCCAGGAGCAGACGACGTCAGTGTGGAGGCAGAGGTCTGAGGGATGGCGGGGGCCTTAGGGAGCCCTGTTCCTGCCTCTGTAGCAGTGGCCCCACCTCAAGGGAGCCCCCCCCCCAACCCCCGGGAGCTCTGTCCTTTACCTTCCCCTCCAGGGAGGGCTTTGGCTCCAGCAGCATTGTCATTGGCATCTCCCTGCCCAAGAGAACAGAGGGAGGGGTGGGCTTAGGTGGGCCGAGGGCCAGCCTCTGGGAGCCAGACAGAAGGGGTCTTCAGAAGGGTCAAGGAGAGCCTGGCGTGGAATCATGGGCCGCACGCCTGCCAGTGTGCTGCGTGCCTCAAGCCCATCACGCCCGATTCGCGATTCCACACCTTCGCCTGGACCGGGCCTGCTGTCCGCAGTGCCCTTCCCCCCACCGTCCACTTGGCAAACATTCATCCTTCAAACCTGCTCAGGCTCATCCTTGGAGGGGCTTTCCTTGATGCCGCCTCCCATAATGCTGACCGCTCCCTCCCCTGGCCCCCCTTCCAGCGCCCGCCACCCGAACTATGCGGTCGGTTCACCCGCTGGGTCCCCTACAACCTGGGAGGGAGCCTCCAGAGCAAGGGAGACCTGGGCCACCTCAGCGCCTCCCCTCTTTACTTAAGCCCACTCTTTGCCCCAGGGTTGGTTCCCCCAGGTTGGGGAGCCATTTTAAAGCAGCTCGTACCTGGGGGAAGATTTTATTCATGTCTCCGGCCTCCGGCTCCCAGCTCCGGCCTCCCGGCACTGGGGCGCCCTGTGCAGAGAAGTCAGCACAGGTTCCTGCCCTGTCACCAGGGGCAGCCTGGCGGAAGGAGGACAGCAGGCCAGGCCTGGCCACACCCTCCCTGCGGGAAGTCCCCTCCCGGGCTCCTGCCTGGCCCTTCCCCTCCGCCCTCGGATGGAGCACTCCAAGGTGGGAGTCCTGCTGCCCACATTACTGACGAAGAGCCTGAGGTACAGAGAGGAAGAAACTGCCCCTAGGTCACACAGTGGGGAGGGGGAAGCGGGGTTCGGATCTGCTTTTCCTCCACATCAGTGGTGAGACCGGGGACTCTCAGGCCCCTCAGCTGCATGAAGATCCAGGCAGAAATACCCAGAATTAATGTTTTAGTGGCTAAAAAACAGGAATCATTTTATTGTTCAATTTAATAGGTAATCTATGTGGAGAATGAATATGCATTTTCCACTAAAATTAAAACGCAAATATAATTTTAAATTATTTTCTTTTAAAAAAGTGGCCATGTGCCTTTTCATCTTTCGAGAGATGGTGCCCGTGATGGGGAAGGGGCGGGCGGGTTGCTCACCTGAATAACCCTTGCTACCCACCCTGCAGGTGGCAGCCTCATCCCACTGCTGAGGAGCCCAAGGCCCTGGGAGCTCAAGGGACTGGCTGGAGGACCAAAGCAGGAGAGGTGTCCACCTCAGAACTGAGCGCAGGGCCTCCGGGGAAGGTCCCTCTGCAGCCTGCCTCTGACGCCCAGGGGTTGTCTACCCTGTGACTGGCCTTCTGTTTTGCCCTGGGATATGAACTACTGGAGTCCCTGAGGTGGCGGTGGGATGGGTCAGTGCGGGAACAGCTCTCCGGAGACAACAGCCCCGGAGGAAGGGCTAACCCCTCAGCCAAGAGAGGGCCCTGCCCCTGGCGCTGGTATGGGCAAGTTGTTCCCCTTTGCTGAGCCTCAGTTCCCTCGTCCATAAAATGAAAGGATTCGACTAGATGAAGGGGGCATCTTGGGGACTCCCATAATCAGACCATAAGACCAGACTGGAAGTAGGTTTACTTGGGAGTGACCCCTGGAAACGACAGCTGGGGAGTGAGGCGAGTGGGACAGGGAAGGGAAGGGCCCCATAACTGGCATGTGATCAGGCACGTCCCCACGATGCGCAGATGGAACTTTCTCCTGCCACGGAATTCCAGGAGCCAAGGGAGAAGGCGTGCCTCCGAGTTACCAGCCCTGTGAAGGTGAGGGCACGGGGGTGGGGGGGTGTGGGGGTGGCGGGGGTGTGCTTGTGAGCTCTTGCCAGTCATTGGCTGAGAATTGCTGGGGTATGACCTGCCGGCTCCACTGGCCTGCCGTGGGCGCCGAGCTGCCTGTGTTGGCCGTGGCGAGCCTGGCTGACCTGCTCTGGAGTGGAACGGGTTGGGGAGTGTGGGCTGGACACCCCACGGCATCTGCCAGAGATGCGAACTAGACTTCATCTTGTACGCCAACGGCGACTGATGGATAGAGGACGTCTGGAACATGGGGTTCAGGAGGGTTCTGAGGTCAGGACTCAGGGTTCTGTGATTGGCTAGAGATGTCTACCATGGGTTCCCTTGGGCAACCCTGCTGAGCTCCCTTGGCCTTGGCTGGGGCCTGCTCGAGCCACGCCTGGGTACACTTCTAGCAAGAGCAGGAACTTGGGTGCTGACAGTCCAAAGGGCCCCCCGCTGCTGGCTGCGTGACCTCGGAGCTAACCTCTCTGAGCTTCAGCTTCTCACTTACCTCTCTAAACTCCTCTTCCATTCATTCCTGAAGAAAGGCAGCGCCCCAGTCAAAGGACCTCTCTGTCCTCCCCACTCCACATCCAAGCCCATACCAGGTCCCCTCTGCCTATTTGCTTTAACCTCTCCCTTCTTCCCCCCTTCCCTCCCCTGGGCAAAAAAAGTCCCCAAAACTTATTACAGAAAAGTAGGGAAAACTAGGTAACAAATAATTATCTATCTACCCTCCAGAGTTAACAAATGTTAAGATTTAGTCATTTTTGCTTTAGCCTTTTTTTCTATTAAGTTTAGCAAAATCAAAGGCGTCTTTTCTTCCCAGTTGTGTTCCCTTCCTTCTCTCCCCAGAGTCGACCAGTTTCCTGAATATGCCGTGGATGCTTCTAGGAGCTGTTGCTCTCTCAAGACACACAGACACACACACACATAGAATCACACGGTGGGGCACCTCGATCTTAGCATAATTTGCCATGCCGTTCTTCCAGGGGGCCATACCAATCTGCACTCCCGTTAGCAGCGTGTGACAGTTTCCATCTTCATTCTCCCTAGCCTCAAAATGCTCACTCTCTGACACCTGCGTCTGTCTGATAGGTGCAAAATGGTGTCTACGGGTGCGGGTGGTTTCATCTGTATATCTCTAGTAATTATTATTGCTACGACTAATCACTGACAAGTACTGAACACTTACTTTACCAAATGCTTTATGTATGTGAACTCATTTAGTCCTCCCAGCCACAGGATATGGGGACTATGATCTCCATTTTACAGATGAGAACACTGAGGCACACAGCCACTAAGTTACTTGACCACGGTTCACAGTTGAAAAGTGGCAGAGCCGGGATACAGATCTGGCTGGCTGAAAAGTTCACACTCTACCTGTACCTACACCCTTACTTTTCTGAAGTGTGTTCCTCAGACCAGCAGCGTCTGTATCATCTGAGAGCTGGTTGGAACTGGGGTCTCACTCCAGCACCGCCAAACCAGAACCTGCTTCTTAACAAGATCCTCAAATGGAGTGCCTTGCCCGACCCCATGTATTGTGCTGCCCTTTTTTATACATTGGTCATATGGATTTCCTCCCTGGCATATTGCTTTTTCACATCTGTCATTCATTTTTCTGTGGGTGGTTTGTCTTTTTCTAATTGGTTTGTGGATTTCTTTTTGTTGGACTGTAGCTTGTCACTTGCTTAGAGTGGCTTCTGCTGTCTTCCTCTGCCTTTCTAAATCCATCTTTTGTGCCCAGAACCCAGAACCGAGTAAAAATCTCACTTCACGAAGCCTTCTTCGACTCTCCCTTCTTCCCGGGTTTGACCTTTCCCTATATACCTTACTGCCTGGGGCTCTGTCTTGGCCTGGCTGTGGCTAGGGGAAAACCCTCTGGACATGCGATCAGCCAGCCTCAGCTTGTCAGACAGACCTGGGTCTTCATCCACACTCTGCCAAATTAATACTAATCTAAGGTGGCAAGTCACAGCCTCTTGAAATCCCTGTCCTCATCTGGAGAATGAAGACAAGAACACTTGCCTCAGAGCGCTATGGTTAGAATGAAATCAGTGCACGTATGTGAAAATGTTCTGCTCCCTTTGGGGGCACAATACTGTTTCTGGAGGCCTTGGTTTGTTTATAATTAGAGAGAGCTACTAGGACTGCTTCTCAGTCCAGGGCCCAACTCTGGGTTAGAGAATGCTAACAGGTACCACCATTAGATGGACCCAGGGACCTCCTTCCAGACGTGCCTAGAGGTGAGGCCTGCCCCTGCCTCAGCATTTATCACTCCTCCCCTAAGCCTCCCATAACTTGGGAAGCCCTGACTGGTGTCTCTCCTCTCTCAGACTGTCTACTCAACTCTAGAATGGAAATGGCGGGCCCCAGCCTGCTTTCCTAACGGAATGTGGTAAGCACCCATTTAAGGGGATGGTGAGACTGCTCTAAAGGGCTTGGTGGAGAGCACAAACACCATCATGGGAGATCTAAGCAGACACTGCTACAAGATAGCATTACAGTATTGTTTAATGCAGATGATCCAGATTTTATCGAAGTTTACATACTTATGCATTATGAATCGACAGGTGCAGGGCTCCAGCAATGACTGCACGACAGTATGTCTTGAGGTAACATTATTGAGCTTTTGTTGTCTAATCAGTCACTAATTTCTTTCCACCCAAGCCTTCAATTATTGCTGTCCCAATGTTGCAGAACAATTCAAGTATAAAAAGCACACAGGAAACAGTAAAAAAAAAGGAAAAAAAAGGCCCAAATAATTTAGAATTGAACAAACAAAAATATTTTGCTCCTAAAATGACAAAGTAAAACTGTTTGTGAACTAACTGGAATTTAAATAGAAACTTTAAAAAAAATGGCAAAAGTTAGACAACCTCTAAACTAAGGGTTTAGTGCACTTAGATGGGAAAGAAATAAATCTTTATTTTCACTAACTTCTAACGGAAATATAGCATTTCCTTCAACTATGAATGTAGGCCACATCGACAGTCTATGAACAGTACCTGTGACTTTGTCACCAATAGAAACCACAGAGATTCAGATATCATATTACAATTGTTGCAGGTTATTTTGAAATAATAACCTGAAATTACTTTGGAATTACAGAGATTCTAGAAGTACCACTAGACCTTTATTTATGTGTTAATAAAGAAGAACATATATACACAACCACAAAATCTTAAAAATGTCTTAACTATATTTTAACATAGTTTCCTTTGCAGTCCTTCATATTTAGTGTTATGCATCTAAAAACATGATTCTGAGGAGTACACAGGCTTCATCAGATTGCCAAAAAGGTCCATGGTGTGAAAAAGGTTATGAACACTTGCTCTCAACAAGTCAAGTCATCAACATCACAGGAAGAGAACACTTAATTGTGAAGTATATGGAGCTTCAACAATCACAAATTTGAGAAAAGGTATTTAAACTATGCTTCCCAATCTAATTATTGCAAGGAGTCGGAAAATCCACAGATTGTACAAGCTAGCTTCTCACAGAAGTCCACATTTTCCACTATTTCACTCTTTGATCTCTATTACTGTACATACTTCTACTCCCAGACTCTAGTTTAGAACAAGTAGTCAAGGAAAGAAAGATTAAAAAGGTAGCTCAGATGTTGATACTCAAATGTAAACATGACAATCTTAGCAACTGGACACCTGGTGGGAGGGGCTCAGAAGCACACTGGGTTCATAGAGGCTCGGTTGGCAAACCTAGAATTT